TGGGTGGGTTGGTCGTTTGTACAGGTGAATGTCTTGGACAATGGCGTCAATGGCCGTTAGAGCAAGTCGATTTAAACTTTTCTTTTTGATTTTGCGAGTTAACCCCAATAGCGCACGAGGCTGGTTATGATGAACTTGACCAAGTTTATAAACAGTACCGCTAGAACTAAGCTCTTTCAATATTTCTCGTCTATACGGTGTTTTTTCAAGCTCTTCAAAAGTTCAAACAAAACCGACAGAATGTCAACTGATTGCGATTTGAGCCAGCGCTTCCATATATATATATAGTCGAACATACTCCAAAGACCACCTGTACTGGCGGCCACTTCCAACTCACTCCCTTGTGAGTTCTCAACAAAGGACACTGTCGAAGACTTTCACCTGTCAAAAACAACAATTTTTGTTCCTCAACAATGAGCGACTGTTTTTTGTTTGTTTGTTGTTGTTTTGGGTTTTTTAAAATAATTTCGACGGTATTTTGACTTTACCTACAGAGCTGGCGATCCAGGTTGGAATTTATTTTAAGACCCAGGTTGTGTAGAAAAACTTCAAAACCTTCAATGTCAGAGATGGACTTTGATTATAATATACATGTATTATATGATATAATATTATTATATGCTTTACATTCGAGCATATCAACCTTTGTAAGGCCAGGGATCAATCTTGTCACCTTACTTTAAGAGGATAAGATTTTCATACTACCCACCTGCATAAATACTGTAATAAAATTGTAAGCGGGGCGTTAAATAACCCCAGTCACGGCAGTCACTACCCAGATGGTCCCCACCGCTCACCAAAATTATAAAAATCAACAACCAGCGGACGATATCGACCAGGTTGGCAAGCATTGTTATTACGACTTTCACAGTACGGGCTAGATTACACAGACTACATTGATCTTAAAAGCTAACATGAGAAGGAAACGATATAAAACACTAACATGATTTCAAACATGGGATTGGTCACCATCGGTAAACGACCAAATCAATGAACTCCAACAGCAACAACAATGGTAATAATAATAATGGTAGCTTAATAATATATTATAATTAATAACAATAATAAAATAAAAATAATATGGACAATAATAATGAAAATAGTTAACTGATGTAAACATGTTAACAATGGATAAAAAGCACAAGAAATACAATTTCTCTGTACACAGGCATCAGCTACAAAGATAATAACAATAAAACAGTATAGAAATTTCATCAGAGAAAAAACTAAAGCAAAAATAGTATTTCTGGTCTGTTTTATTGTGCCCTTGTAAAAGGTGTTGTCTCCGTAAGCTACCTATTTATATAATAATAGCCATTGATTATGCCGAGTCTCGTAGTCGTATGCAAATATGAAGTTTATTTCGTCTTTTTCGGTCAAGGGAAGTGACTAGAGAATGTGAGTTTTAGAGAGACTGAAAGGGAGAGGACAAATGTTCACAAAAAAACAAGTCACGTAAGTGTACCATACTTACAAATAATTGATAATGAAAGGGAAGAGCGAAGTTGTGAATGTGTTTCAATTGTTTTCCTTCTAACGTGTACACGACTTTATTTCTCTTTGTTTCTAGTTTCCGCAAGTCATTGACAGTTTCAATACATACCACGATGCTATCGTACATATAGACATTTTATTATCTTATTAATTAGACCTTAGTTTGAGAAATAAATAAGTAAATGGCAAAAGCAGAAGGTGTGTCTTATTCATTTGTGCCAACCAAAAAGTTGATGGGTCATTTCAGAAGTTCTGCTCTTCCACGCCAGAATTAATCTAAAATTTCTTTAACACGTGGTTTTATGAAAACAGAAGTTGAAACCATACTTTCGTGCCCCCAATAACAAACTGTAGCAGCAAGAAGTAACATAATGACATGACATAAAAACTATCTACCAACCCTTAACTCAGCTTCAACACTTCCCAAAACGCCAATAAATAATGATTGCACGTGCCTATCTATGTCATAGAAAAATGTGTCTAGATCTAGTCTATGCTTTCTAAACCCTTAGAGAAAGAAACGTAGCTCTTTCTCCACCTAAATTTTCAAGGACAACAAACCATGCGTTGTAAAAATCATAATAAATAAAAACAACTGTAACTCACCGTTTAATCTTCTTGAAACACCCTTGGTGGACCTCCGTCTGTGGTTAGTGGATTCATTGGTGTGTTCATTCGTATATTCCGAGTCATGGACTGAAGATTCGGCCATCGGTGGATTCATTTTGTTTTAGACTAACGAACTTATCGCTGTAATTCTGGTTGGGAATTTGGAAGGTCGGCGGTCAGTCCGTCAGCTGGACACTGTACTGTGAGAATGCGGCGAGGAAAGGAAGGGAGGAGGAGGAGGAGGAGGAGGAAAAGGAGGAGGAGGAAGGTGGTTCGGTCGTCCCCGTGCTCGGGCCGACTGATCGTGCAGCGAAGGTGAGGGAGAAGGGGACGGGGGTTAGACTGGTGCTTTATCAGTGCAATGTGTGTAGTAGACGTGTCCCTCAACTTGTGTGACGGTGGACTGTTGAGGCGTGTTGCCCGAAGGTGGGGCCAACAAGGAGGCGAATAT